CGCCCCCCCCCCCCGGGCAGCCCTTGCCTAGGCAGTGGGGCGCTGGGCCCCAGAGCCTGATGCTGGCACCAGAGTTCAGGGTCTGTGGGACTCTGGGGTCGGGGTCCTGGGCTGGGCTTTGCCGAAGCTGCCGCCTGTGACAGCCGTTGCCTGGATCCCAGGGCCGGGCGGTGGGGAGAGGAGGAAGGCTGTGGAGGGGCTGAGCTGGGGGGTGCTGGAGGCCAGATTTGCTCCCCTGGGGCTTAAGCTGTGGGAACCGTCCCTTCCAGACCCTCCAGGGCAGATGTCCCTTGGTGGGATGTGGGGCTCTGCATGGTGGGGCCAGGGATCGCAGGCAGGGCTGGGCTGCAATTGCTCCTCACCGCTGTGTGTTTCTCGGGGCGCAGGCTGGCCGGGGCTGGTGTGACGAGACGTCGCGGTGCCAGCCGGGTTTCAGCTCCGAGAGCTACACCTTCCGCGTCCCCAGGCGGGAACTGGAAACCGGCCGAGTGCTGGGCAAAGGTAAGAGACTCGCCAGGCCCCGACGTGCCCCCTCAGGCTGGGGTCCCCACAGGTGGTCCCAGGACGGGTCTCCCCTTGATACAGAGAGCGGCTCCTGCCCCTGCCCCTCTCTCCCAGAGCCAGAGGCTGGTGTCCCTAGAGACTAAGGCCAGACGGGACCACTGTGATAGCTCCTCTGCCCACCTCAATAACTCAGGCCGTGCGACTGCCTCGTATTGAACCCAGCAAGCAGCCCGTTGCGGGTAAACAAGGCTGGTGCCGGAGAGGCCAGATAACGCCCTCGTGGCAGGTTCTGCTGGTGGGGACAAGTCCAGCCGGGGAGGAGTTTTGTGGCTTTCTAGCTGCTGTTGCTATTAACTGGAAGCAAGGGAGAGCTGTGGCCTTTGGGCCGAGAGATATGGCTGGTTGCAAGGCCGCAGTTTGCTTGATGCCTTGGAGGCTAGTGCTGTGTTAACAGCAGGAGTTATGGACTAGAGTGTTTTTCAACCACTGGTACGAGTACCCGTAGGGGTACTGGACAGAAGTCGGGGGGGTGCGTCAACACAACTGACATTTGGAGAAAACTGAATTTTTATTTTACGTTTTACGGCACTTTATTATTTTTGTACTTTTTAGACCCAACGATTTCATCGCTTCTCTCCCTCCCCCCGGCTATGATTAAGTTGTTTAAACAAACGTGTTGCAAAGGTAGAAAAAATGTTGTGTGTCTGAAAACTGTAGGTACTGGGGGTACTTCTAATTATTTTATTTATTTTTTTTTAAAAAGGGGTACTTTATTTAAAAAAAAAAAGGTTGAGAAACTGGAGCGTTGCTCAGCGGCTCCTGCTACTGGCACGGAAGGGTTAATGAGCAGCCAGGCTCCCTGAGATCTGCCCTTTCCCCTCCAGCGAGGGGAGGGGCAGGGCAAGCGGAGAGCAGGCTTGTCCTAACTCGCAGGCTGCGCGTGGGGCTGTGGCTTATTCTCTGACAATCTGCCTTCAAAGCGTTTTGCTTTCATCGGGCTGCCCGGCAGCCAGAGTACCCGCTTCCTGCTCTTCCCCTCCCCGTGGCCTTCGCTGTTGTGTAAACAAGGACGTTCTTCTGTCTGAATTACTGCCCCTGTTTGGGGCCTTGCATTGGTCTGGCGGAGTAGCTGGTTCCCAGGCATGACCCAGGACATCAAGGCAACCTACCTATTAGCCTCCAAAGGGTACTGTGTCCAGCCAAAGCAGGCCTCTGTGTTCTGCGCTGGTCGAGAGGCCATGTGTGCCCCCGCCTGGCACTGGACCCCTTGGACGGAGCTTGTGAGTGTTCCTGTTGGCAGGTGTGACTTAGCACCGAGCTGCTTTGTGTTGTGTTTGCTTTCTGGGGTCACGACTGCGGGAGAGCCCTCTTGGAAAGGTCTAGCCACTCCACCTTTGTACGCTGCAGCTCCCCCAGGTGCGCTTGGCAAATGCAGCGGTCTCCGATCCACCCCAGTGCACGTGTGACAGCTGAAGCGTTTGGGTTTCAGGGGGGTCGGGCTCCAGCCCACGCTACAGGTCACGCTTCCTTGGCAAAGGTGCCGGCCTGTCCAGCATCTGCACCCGGAAGGAACAGAGCAGATCTAGCTGCTGCCTTGTTAGCCTTCGCTACACCTACCGCCTCGTCCCGTCAGCGCTGCCCACGCCCCCGTGGGGTACATTCAAAAGCACCAAGCAGCAGGAGACCCCTAGTTCTACTTCCTCTTCATGCGAAGGCACAATTCCTCTTAACCCAGCTCAGTGCCCCTTAGACCCTCTTCCTCCGTCCCATGGCCAAGCGTTAACGACAGGAGCCCACGGGTGAGCTGAAGAAAGAGGGTCCAGACGGCAGTTCCCACTGCGGGCTGCGAAAGATTCAGCGCGTTGGCTCCCCATGATCATCACAGATTAGGCAGCGTTTACATCTCATGCGAAGGCACAATTCCTCTTAACCCAGCTCAGTGCCCCTTAGACCCTCTTCCTCCGTCCCATGGCCAAGCGTTAACGACAGGAGCCCACGGGTGAGCTGAAGAAAGAGGGTCCAGACGGCAGTTCCCACTGCGGGCTGCGAAAGATTCAGCGCGTTGGCTCCCCATGATCATCACAGATTAGGCAGCGTTTACATCACGCTTCGTGGGCCTCTACTAAGCGGGGGGGCGGTCAGAACTGTCCCTACTTAGTTGCCTTTGCCCTGGGGTTGGCGGGGGGCTTCTGTCGCTGGCCCCGGTGGGGCGAAGGAACGCAGGTTCTGCGTGTGGCTGGTCGCAAGAGCTGAGAGGGGTCTAGTGTCCCAGCTTTGGTTTGGGGCTGCGTCGTTCCTGGAAATGCCCCTTCCACGAGCAGAGCGCGGTGAGACGCCATTGTCTCAACGTCTCCGGCAAACAAAGCGCGCCAGGGTCTCCTCTCGTCTGCGCTGGGCCTCACAAGCCGCGAGGTCACCAGTGTGCAGCCGGGCTAGGGAGGGTGCGGGGGGGCTGAGGGCGAATCGGGTCAGACTCAGAGGAGCGTGGTAAAGGCAGGCCTGCATGCAGGAATTTCGGGGGGGTGCTTTTTTGGTAAATGTGGCCCACAAGGGTGTGAACACACCCTCCATGGCCCCCCAAGTAAGCAGGGAAATCAGCCCCGGCTGGCCAGAACATGGGAGAGGGAGGCGTGGGTAGCACTCCTGCCTTCCCCCGGTCGGCCGGAGCATACTGACTCGGAGACCATGGGGGTGCCTTTGCTCCCTTCCCACCCCCGCGTACGGGTCTGAAAGGTGAGGGACTGGAGACCCGATGGGGCATGGGAACGGTGGTGGTCCTGCACCCGGAAGGTCCCGGATGGCGGGTGGGGCGAAGTTCTTTTGCGGCTGGAGGTCGGGGAGCCCCAGGATGGGCTGCGGTTGGGCAGAGCGTAGGACTCGCTTTATTTCTGCTGCTGTGCTCCAGTCCGTCAGCGTCGCTGGCTAACGAGACGTGGCCGGCGTGTGTCCCGCTGCAAACGCGCCCGCCTGCTCAGCAGGGCTGTGGAATCCAGCCATGTTCCTCAGCCCCTCGCTCTCGAAGAGTTTCCGCGAGGGCTGCTGCCCCGGCGGCGGGCACTTGTGTCTCCTCCCTTGTTACGGCCAAGGCAGCAGGAGCCGGGGCAGAGCCTGGGCCGGGAGGAAAGGCCTTGCTCCCTCTTGCTGCGTGGGCAGAGGCAGGACAGGTGTTGTCAGAGCCTGGCCTAGTTGGGTGGCTCGCTGCCTGTTCGGCTCCTCTGGTGTGTCTGGCAGGGTTGCCATGGCAATGCGGTGTACTTCTGGTTAATGGGTGACAGGGGTTGGCTGGTAGGTCAGGCGCTCTGCGTGCCCAGAGCCCCCCAATGGGGGTGGGGGGGCTGCAAGAGCTCTGTGGATTCCTTCCCTCAGGAAACTCCTGCTGCTGGGAGCGACCTTCAGCGGGTGGGCCCTGCAGCTCGCAGCAGCTGGACTTTGCACCCGAGATACGGGGCCTCTGGGCCTTGCCGAGCTGCCAGCCTGGCGTGACAGGCTGGTTCGCCGCTGGCCGGCTGAGTCACCTTCAGCAAAGCCACGGAGAGCCGGCTGGAAATCCCCTCGTTCGCCGGCTCCTTCTGCTTCCTGGCGGGGAGACGAGTGAGAAACTGCTCTGGGATTAGTCGCCTCCTTCCTCCCCGGCCCCTGCCGCCCAGGCTCCGGCCCTCGGGCCGTGCTGCTTATCACCAGAGGCTGGAGCTTGTGCAGGCAGGAAGGGCTTGCCCCCTGCCTAAGGCTTGCTAGAGCGGGGCTGGGGAACCTAAGGCCCCTGAGCCTCAGGAGCTGGATCCGGCCCTTGGCTTGCCTGGATCTGGCCCCCCAGGCTCAGGGGCCTTAGGTTCCCCATGCCGCCCAGGCTCCGGCCCTCGGGCCGTGCTGCTTATCACCAGAGGCTGGAGCTTGTGCAGGCAGGAAGGGCTTGCCCCCTGCCTAAGGCTTGCTAGAGCGGGGCTGGGGAACCTAAGGCCCCTGAGCCTCAGGAGCTGGATCCGGCCCTTGGCTTGCCTGGATCTGGCCCCCCAGGCTCAGGGGCCTTAGGTTCCCCACCCCCAAGGGGCCTGCTGCAGAGCAGGGATCCGGCCCTTGGCTTGCCTGGATCTGGCCCCCAAGGCTCAGGGCCCTTAGGTTCCCCACCCCAAAGGGGTGTGCTGCAGAGCAGGGGTCCTTGCCATGGCGGTGGAGGCAGGGGGGGGACGAGCAGCAGGAGCAATTCAGTAGTTGTAACCCCCATCCCAGGACACGTGGAGACGGGTGGCGACTCGCGTCACGGGGGGATCTGAGGCCACTTGGCTTCCCAGATTGTGACTGTCACCCACCCCGGGCACCCCCGCTAGGGCAGCGTCTGCAGCCGGTGCTGTGTGCTCGTGGCTGGCCATGCCACCCAAACCAGGCCATCCTGTGCTAACTGAGGGGGTTGACCCTCGCCTAGGAGGCCCCCTGCATGTGAGAGTGTGGATCTGCCCCACAGGAACGGCTATGGCTGGAGGTGGGACGTACCCCACTGACACTGGCAAAAACAGCCAATATGATTCTGGGAGGCATTCGCAGGGGTGTTGTGAGCAAGACACGAGACGTCATTCTTCCGCTTGGCTCTGCGCGGATTAGGCCTCCATTGAAAGGTGGTGCCCAGAACTGGACACAATCCTTCAAGAAAGTTGTGGAGAAATTGGAGACGGTCCATGGAAGAGCAACCAACACGGTTAATGGTCTAGAGAACATGAGCTGTGAGGGAAGACTGAAGGAATTGGGCTTTTTAGTTTGGAAAAGAGAAGGCTGAGAGGGGACGTGACAGCAGTTTTCAAGTATCTAAATGGGTGTTACAAGGATGAAGGGGGAACATTGTTCTCCTTGGCCTGTGATGAGAGGACAAGGAGCAATGGGCTTAAACTGCAGCAAGGGAGGTTTAGGTTGGACATTAGGAAAAACTTCCTGCCTGTCAGGGTGGTTAAACACTGGAATAAATTGCCCAGGGAGGTTGTGGAATGTTCATCACTGGAGAGATTGAA